AAGACCTGGTCCCTCTCGGTAGGGTAACAAGGGAACGTGTTCAGTGCAGATCAGTGAGCCCGCCTTGTTTCAGTACCTATGATTACTAATAGCTTGTCTAATAGGTCAGTCAAATTCCCATTTTGTTCGGGCTTAGTTTTCATGGCTAAAGTTTCTGGGATCATTTTTATCATGACTAGCTCTGCTTTAAAGCAGTGTTTCTTGGTTAATATCTGGTACAATTACTGAGAGGAACAGATCTAAAAAGGTGATCACTTCTTCTCTCAGTAAGTCATGAGAGAGAATCAGGGCAGGATTACAGGCACAAAGGCAAAGTACCTGCCCTCTCTGATTATCAGAGACAGAAATGATGTACCACAACAGTGGCGGCCATGGCTTCTGAGTGGCTGCCTCTGAACTAATGCCAGTGTTCAGTGATAGCTGTATCTTTGGAAAAGCCTGAATCATAAAGACTCTCCTCAGAAAAATAAGAGATGACAAGCTTCACTGTTACCTGTACACAGTGGATTTATGTTCAATTGCAATCAACATGAGGTTCATCTTCCTATAGCAGATCCTGGGAAGGAAGACAAGTACTGTGAGGAGGGAGAAAACAGCAGGGTGCTAGTTCACAAGAATATGACCAACATTTTGTGCTTTGTGCCTGGGAGAAAACCAGGACCTTGGCAGAAGAAGGATCTTCTAAACATGGAATTCACTGTTAGGTCAATTCATCCTAAAGTAATGATAGCCAGGTGAGACAGAGATGAAATTGTCCCAAACAGACTATAAACTTCTAGAATGAGGGGACTCTGATGTACTCATTCTTTTATCTTCAGTGTTTGTAATGGAGTCTGACCAAGAATGAGCTCTCAATGAACATTTTTGAAAGAATGTGGTTTCAAGAAGAAGTGGGAAAGAATTTTTCTTAACTTACAGTGAAACTTCAGGAAAAGTCATCCCTGCAAAGTCATCAGAGAGACGTTGAGTCACGATTTTGTGCTTTAAACCATTTAAGAAATGTTTTTGCCAGAGTTGTTTAGGAGTCACCTGGAATACATACACAGTCATGTCACCTCCTACACATGCCATAACATTATTTAATTACTAGTTACTAAATAAATTCACTTAGTATTTGTGATCTAAATGCTTCTGTTTTTGAAATATGGTAAAAAAAAAAAAAAAATGATAACCACAGAAATGAAGAATGCTTCCTGAGACTGACTACAAACTTTCCCAATACCTGTATTTCAAAAGTCATCTTGTTGAATGTTGGCAGGTAGTTATCCCCAATGAGGAGTTTACAACATTAGATTGGGGTGGGGGCAAGACTTAATAAAGATGGTATTGTACATCTCTCTTCTCTATTTCTATTAAGGAGAATATCAAGTTTTCATTCCATTTATTTTCTACAGCTTTGGGGAATGAAATCATAACCGTAATAAGAAGCAATGTAGTTCTTTGCCACTTTCTAAGCATACAGCACAAACAAAGTCAATTTCCTTTTAAGCTGTTTCCTAGATCACATCCAGTGATCAGTGAGCAAAGTAAAAACATATTCATTATAGCAACATCATGCCTCACTCCCTAATGTTTACTTCTTTTTATCTCCATATTACATCATTTCACATTCATAAAGAGTTGCAGAAGAACTCTCTGTGTTCCAAAGTTAGTATTTCATTAGTGAAATCATCTCTCGCCTCTTTTTCTTTTCTTTGATAGTACCAAAGAGTAACAAGAAAAAATGCAAAGGTTTCTATCAAATAGAGGAAATGAAGTGCAAAGAGAGGCCAAGAAAGAAATGGAGTGTAGGATAAGGCAAATGTGGATTCAAAAGTAAATGGAGAGGAATGCCACTCTCTGGAGAGGCTTTGAGCAATGTTTTCTGAAGCATTTCATGGGAATGATATTTGGAAGGCCACACTTTGTGCATCACTGCTTTAGGGATTCTTCTCTGAACTTTAGCTTCTAACATCTGACATCCTAAGTTGCAAGGACTTTGTAATAGTGAAATAAAAACAAAAGAGATTCTATAGATGCTCAACCCAATAGCTCCTTTTAGCTGCTTATTTTGTCCCAGAGGTATCAAAGAGCATGAAGTGGGAGATTATACCTTACCAGAAGAGTAGATTATAGATGTGGGTCTGTGGACTAGAAAATTATCTCTATGCTACTCACTAACTTAGTATACAAGCAAGCTAGGGAGCTTCACTGACCCATTGTTGGGGTACTAATCTGCCATATTATTGAAGGCAAGACATAATGCATTTAAAATGATAGTACATAGTAGACACTTAAGATGTGTGGGCACTATTGTAATTACTATATGGAATTTCCCTAACATTACCTGGAGAATGGGATTTTAATTATTATTTATATACTTATTTTAATTTTATTAATGTGGTTATTATTATGTCAATTGTTATTTTGTACTTAATTTATATTCAAATATATGACTTCTCCATTAACGATATAATCTTTTTTTATATTCCAACTTGCTTTAAATAACTCAAAGAGCTTCTACATTTATGAATATATTTACATTTATAACATCCTGGACTGTCAGTAGGAAGCAGAGTTAGGATTTCTACTTTGCCAATGAACACTCTTAAGCAAGAATGAGATAAATACTTCTCAGTAAGTAAGATCAAGGTAGTACCTGGAATTTCATTCTAGATCTCTCAATTCTTTCCCACCTAAAGTAGATATCAAATCTCACTTCTTAGGGTCTTCTTGCCCTAGATAAATTCATTTTTCTATTTCTGATCTTAATAGGTAAGGATTTGGAGATAAGAGGTATGATCCAACATCAATTTACAAGGTTACCTTTTGGTTGAGCTCAATAAATAGAGAGGTTAGAAAGGTGCACAAGCCTGGCACCAGGCAGCCTTGGGCAATAAATCCAAGCTTCAATTCAGCAAAGCAGATGATGTTGTCCCCAGTTTTCCAGTTCCAGTCGGGAATCTTTGGCAGATAAACCTGTTTCGTGATGGAAAGAAGGACAGCATTAGGAAAAATCATGCCTCATGAAAGATACATGTCTTTCACATAATTTATCTTTCCTTCTTCATTCTTGAACTTGAAAATGGTGCCCATGTCAATGAAGTGTAAGAATGAGTTCCAATTCAGTATTTGAAATTGGTTAGAGGGAAAATAGGAGTCCCTAGGTGGTGCAAAGGTTAAGCAATTAACTGAAAGGTTGGCAGTTTGAACCCATCGAGAAGCACCTCAAAGGAAAGGCCTGGTGATCTGCTTCTGAAAGGTCACAACCATGAAAATCCTATGGAGTACACTTCCACTCTGCAACACACAGCATAAGCATAAATCAGAATCGGCTTGTTGGCAATGAGTTTCAAGATTTTGTTTTTGTTTTCTCATGGTCATATGCTCCTACATTTTAAAATAGAAATAGCTGAAGCTGTCAAATCAGGTCAAATGTCTTATGCCTTAGTTCTTTCCAAATTCACACTTTTAAGTGATTAACAATTGGAATGGACCTTTAGTGGTGCAGTGGTTTAAGGCATTTGGCTGCTAACCAATAAGCTGGTTGTTCAAACACACCAGGTGTCTTGTGGAAGAAAGATGAGGCGGTCTGCTTGTGTAAAGATTTACAGCCTTGGAAACCTTATGGTGGCATAGTACCCAAGGCAATTGACTGCAAACCAGGAGGTTAGAGGTTCAAACCCACCAGCCACTCTGCAAAAGGAAGATCAATCAATCTACTTCCAGGTTGCTATGAATTAGGTGGCAGTGAATTTTGTTTTGGAACGATTTTAGTGTAATTACAAATTTCACTTATGATTGGCAAAAATTGTTCATTTAAATGCGGTAGAAAATAATAAGATTCACCTAGCTTATAGAATAAAAGAGAAAGATATCGGACAGGCTAGAATATTGTAATACCTTGTTATGTGATTGAAGTATCTGAATGATGACTCTGGTTTTAGGGTAGTAATTCTTGATAGAGAGCACCCTGCATAAATGACAGATATGCTCATCAGTGATGTGTTAAATCAAAATGATTTCCAATATAATTCCATTCAGAGTTAAATTGATGTGTGAGTAATTAGAGGAAAATTTAGCAATTCCAAAGTTCAATTTATGTTGTTTTCTACAAATAACATACACAGAAATGTACTACTCTTTTAGTGACTTAGCAACTCAGACCTATGGAAAGGTCAGCTCTTGGAATTAAGAGACTGGTCCAAAATCCAAGATCCAAGTCTTTATGTGGAAATAAACAATTTCATATAATTTAGCCTTCAAATTCATACAAGTTAATTACAGGAAAAAAAAAAGTGATTCTATTCCTGTCTATAGTTTTGGTGGCACAGTGGGTAAGGCATTTGGCTGTTAACCAGAAAGTCAGCGGTTCAAACTCACCAGGTGTTCTGTGAGAAGAAGATAGGACAATCTACTTCTGTAAAGATTTAAAGCCTCATAAAGCCTGTGTGGTTTTTTATGAATTGGAATTGACTCAATGGCAGTGGGGTTATATATACATAGGCTGTCAAACACAACTTTCTCATTTTACAAATTAAGACATTGAGTTCTATCTTATATTTACTGTTTAATGCATGGTACAAGTTCATAAGCTGTTTCTCACAGTTTGTGGAGTCACCTTCAGCTCTGCATATTGATTTTTCTCTAGGAACCAGAAGTTCAGCTGGCTTAGGCACAATACCATTGCCATCACAGTCATATTTTGAATCTCTGTTACCACAGGCAAGTTCCTAATCATAGATAGTCCATAATTAAATATAATAATGCTGACTCTTGTTGTTGTTAGGTGCCATTGAGTTGGCTCTGATTCATTGTGACCCTATGTACAACAGAATGAAACACTGCCCCACCCTATGCCATCCTCACAGCCCTTGCTATGCCTGAGCCCATCATTGTAGCCACGGTGTCAATCCATCTCATTGAGGATATTCCCCTTTTGGGCTGACCCTCTACTTTACCAAGCATGATGTTCTTCTCCAGGGATAGAGCCCCTCTGACAACATGACCAAAGTAGATGAGATGAAGCCTAGTTATTCTTGCTTCCAAGGAGCATTCCAGGTGCACGTCCTCCAGGACAGATTTATCCTAACAAACTCTAGTCATCTTGAAAATATTTGCCATTGGTCACAAACAGAATATTGAACAATGTACAATTTTTCATCAGAATTACTGGGGGATAAAACCTTAGTAAAAGTCAGATTCTTGAAGAAGAAAACATTATTGATATGAATTTAGTTATAAATGGCACTATTAGAATAGTGATAAATTATTTGAATGCTTGGTTCTTTTAAATTCAGGTAGCTAGTAACCATATCAAACCCACCAGCCACTCCTCGGAAGGAAGGTTGGGCAATCCTACTTCCGTAGTGATTACTGCCTCGGAAACCAAAGGAGGGGTCGCTATGAGTCGGATTTGACTCGACGGCACATAACAACAACAACAACAACAACAAGTAACCATATAAGGGAGCTCTGGTGGCATAGTGCCTAAGGCACTTGACTGCTAACCAGAAAACTGGTGGTTCAAGCCCACCAGCCACTCCTCGGAAGGAAAATGGGGCAATCTACTTCCATAGTGATACTGCCTCAGAAACCCAAGGAGGGGTTTCTATGAGTTGGGTCCGACTTGATGGCACATAACAACAACAGTAACTATATAAGGAGCTCTGATGGCCTAGTGCCTAAGGTATTCCACTGCTAACCAGAAAGTTGGAGGTTCAAACCCACCAGCCACTCTGCGGAAAGATGTATCAATCTCCTCCTGTAAATATTTACCTCCTCAGAAACCCAATGGGGGTCGCTGTGAGGTAGAATCGACTTGATGGCAGTGATTTTTTTTAGTTTAGTATCCACATAAAACTTCAGGGAGGTATGTGGAGAAGGGCATATTCCTGAAAGATAATAAATTTTCACCTTCTTTTTGATCTACCTGCACAATCTGTGAGGGAAAAAACATAGACAGGCACCTGTAATATGATGACCCTTGAGGCACAAATGGTTTATATCCATTTATTAACCCAAAATTGGTGGTTCAGACCTACCCAGAGGCACCAGAAAAGAAAATCCTGGCTATCTGCTTTCATAAGGATTAAAACAATTATTGCTGTCTACTTGATTCTGACTTATAGTGACCCTCTAAGACAGAGTAGACCTTCTCTGCAGGATTCTCAATGCTCTCAGTATTTATGGAAGCACTGACACATCATTCTCCCACACAATGGCTAGTGGGTTCAATCCGTAAACATTTAGGTTAACAACCAAACACTTAACCTTCTGTAATGATTACAGCCAAGAAAGATCTATGGGAAGTTCTACTCTCCAATCACATTGGGTTGTCATGAGTCGCAATCAAGTCCATGGTAGCAGGCTTTTTTGTTTTGTTTTGTTTTTTCACTTAGTGCTATGATTGACGGCATCTTTTTTTGTTTAGTCCTGTGTGCTGCAATTTACTTTAAATGAGGGGGAAAAATCAGAGCATATAAAATACAGTGCCAGCTTCTTACCTCATGATGTTTGAAGTATCTTCAACATGGGAATCACTGCACAAAGGGTTGGCTATTATCAGGCATGCTTCTGCATATTCCACCTACTCTTCAAGATTAAACAACAGGTATCGTATTAATTTTAGGAAATGCTCAGTGGTCCCCTTATGTGTTATCTTATAGTTTAGTCATAAAATTACCAACAAGGAAAAGAACATGGATTTAGACCAAGAGCACACTTGGGAAGGAGTAGTGACAAAGATGCTTAACATCAGGCTCAGAGTCCTGAAAATGCTTCAGGGCTACACTGACAATCTGTGGGACAGGGACAACAACATTGATGTAAGATTGCTTTAAAGGGGAGAAAGTACAAAACCCTTATGTTTTGCTGTCCATCCATCACTGCAAATTTACACCTAGTCATGAGCAATAAGAACGTTATAAACATCTGCATGCATACTTATTTGCTTTTCAGTACAGCAAATAATGGGAAAAAATGAATTCTGCTTGGCTACATAAAGAGCCATTGAATTTTTGCAAATTCTGAAAATAATTGAAGATGCTTTATAGTACAGAGTTGTAAGAAACAGAGAGATTATGTTGGATCTGTCATTTTCTGCTTCAATGCTTTATGCTCACTCTATAGATTTCTGCTTTAAAGTGAAACCTCTTGGTTTATATGATCTGCACCCTAAAGCATGACAGGAAGCGGGCTTTGATCTTAAAGAAAAGATGTATAAAGGATTGAATCTTTTTCATCATTTGTAGTTCCAACCTTAATGGGATCTCTTCTGTTTTCCATCATGATACTTCTATCATTAGGAATATCAGTGTGTCTGGGAGAAGTTAAAAGTTGATGGATTACTAGAAATCTCTCTCTGGTAAGAATTCTATTTAGATGGTTAAACCATGACTTCAAATCAACTCATTTGATTCTACCCCCCTGCTGAGAATTTGCATTTCCATCTCAGATATTCTGAATCAGAATCTACATGTTAACAAGATTTCCAGATGATTCTTATGTAGAATCATCATATTCTTATGTGTATCTTGTTAAAATATAGAGTCTGATTCAGTATATCTGGGATGGAAATGCAAATTCTCAGTAAGGGGTTAACTAGAATGAACCAGTTCATAACCCTGAATAAAACACAATTTTACCATGTGTATTTTATTCCCCAGATCTCCTAGACCACTGATAGAAAGATTTTCTAGATAAATATAGAATCTAGTGAAAGATGTAATATAAAGATAAGTACAAGTAAATAATGGGGTGTGCTTGAACATTGGTCAAGTGTATCTAAGGGTCAAGGCATTGGTGGTTCAAGGGTAGTAGACCTCTCACCTCCTAGGTGGGAGACCTGGTAGATTCAAGTTTTGTCAATGTGCTTCATGCAAAGCCACAACCCATCTGTCAGTTGTCATTCTGTGATCACTTGTATGATTCTATGATGCTGGAAACTATGCCACTAGTATTTCAAAAACTAGTAGGATTATTAAACGTGGGCAGGTTTCTGTGGACCTTTCTGACTAAGACAAACTAGGAAGAAAAGTCTAGTAATCTACTTCCAACATCAGCTTACTGAAACTCTATGAATCATAATTGTCCAGTCCATAACCAATCATGGAGATGGTACAGGGCCAGGCATCAGTCTGTTCCCTTGTATATGGGGTCACCATGAGTCAAAGCCAACTCAATGACAACTAACAACAAATAGTAAGAACATTTGAGGGTCAATTACTACATTTCCTTTATGGCAACAGTACTGTAAAAGACCTCTCTAAAATTCTAAAGAGCAAAGATGTCACTTTGAAGACTAGGGTGAACTAACCCAGGTCATGGTGTTTTAAATTGCCATGTATGCATGTGAAAGCTGGACGATGAATAAGGAAGACCAAAGAAGAGAAGTGTGGCTGGAACGCTCCTTGGAAGCGAGAATGGCCAAATTTCATCTCACCTACTTTGGTCATGTTGTCAGACAGGACCATTTCTTGGAGAAGGTTATCATGCTTGGTAAAGTAGAGGGTCATCAAAAAAGGGGAAGACCTTCAATAAGATGGATTGAAAAAGTGGCTGTAATGATGGGCTCAAGCATAGCAAGGATTGTGAGGATGGTGCAAGACTGGGCAGTGTTCATTCTGTTCTACATAAGTTCACTATAAGTTGGAGCTGACTCAATGGCACCTAGCAATAGTAATGTCTTTCGACAGGGCAATACAATCAGCCATTTTAATTGTTCCAGCTTGGGGAAGCTCAAGGAGAAGAAGAAAACTAGATCTTACCGCAACTCGCTTTAAATCCTCCCACTTCAGTGCAGATCCAAAAACGAAACTTGTATAGGCCATGTTGCACTTAAATATGGTTTCCAATTCCAATGAAGGAGGGTTCCTATGGAAAACAATATAGTAGTAAAAATGAAAAAAAAAAAAAAGATTAATTTTGGTTGTAGATATTTAAATTATACATATTTATTGCATTTAATGCTTATAATGCTTATAAGGCGTCAGGATAGAATGCAGGGAATATGATATTGCATTACCACGCTTAATATCAACCACCACATATCTGTCAGTTTGCCATACTATGGTGGCTTGCATGTTGCTGTGATGGTGGAAGCTATGCCATTGGCTTTTCAAATACCAACAAAGTCACCCATGATGGAGAGGATTCAGTGAAGCTTCTAGACTAGGAAGAAGGATCTGGCAAGCTATTTAAAAAAAAAAAAAAAGAGTGAGCAGTGAAAACCTTGTGGATAACAGCAGAACATTGTCTGATATAGCTGGAAGATAAGCCACTCAGGTTGAAAGATACACAAAATACCACTGGGGAAGATCTGCTTCCACAAAATAGACTCAACCTTCATGATGTGGGTAGAACAAAACTATTAGGACCTTTGTTTGCTTATGTGTCATGACTCAAAATGAGAAAAACAGCTGCAAACATCAATTAGCAGTTGAAACATGGGATGTATAAAGTATGAATCAAGGAAAATTGGAAGTTGTCAAAAATTAAATAGAATGCTAGAAGATGAATATAGTAGGAATTAATGATATGAAACAGACTGCTATTGGCTGCTTTGGATACCTAGTGCCTCTCTGACAAGAATTTAACACATGGTCTTAACTAACAGGAGTTTATTCTTACAATTTGAAGGCTTTAAGTCCAAGTTCAAAGTACCAGGCTCTAGGGGCTGGGTGAAAGCCCTTCAACCTTGGGCTTCAACTCTGCCTCCTGCTCACAGCCCACTGAAGCTGGAGGTAGTTTTTCACTCAGTTGCTGGCTGCTGAGGCTGACAAATCCAAGGTCAACAAGTAACAAGTCACAGTCCTGATATTAACAAACCACACAGCATGCAAGTAATTCAAGTCCATTGAAAGTCCCAAGATTGGCAGAGCATGGCAAGCTGCTGAACAACAACTCAGCTAAATACAGGGTTCAAACGTGCCATAAGCTAGCTACAATTCCCAAAGCTGTTTCTTATATATATATGGGAAGCAGACCACATATCCAATGAAGCAACTTGGCTGCTTTAATAGAGTTAATTGGAGTTAATTACCAGTCTCACCATGGGGAATAACTACTTTCAGCTGCCCAGCCACTCAACCAGGCCCAGCCAAGTTGACACACAAACTTAACCACCACATTGCCCATTTTAAATTGGATGGTCATATGATCTACTATGTCAGGAATGACAAATAAAAGATAAATGGTATCTCTTTCATTATCAAAAAGAAAATTTCAAGATCTATATTGAAGGGGAACACTGTTAGTATTAGGATAATATCCATACACCTGCAAGGACGACCAGTTAATATGATTATAATTCAAATATATGCTCCAACCACTAAAGCCAAATATGAATAAGTTGAATATTTTTACTAACTTCTGCAGTTTGAAGTTGATTAAAGATGCAATCAAGATGCATTGATAATTAATGGTGATTGTGATGTGAACACTGGAAACAAAGAATGATCGGTAGTCAGAAAATATATTCTTGGTGATAGAAATGATTCTGGAAATCACATGACAGAATTTTGCAAGACCAATGACTTATTTATGGCAAATACCTGTTTTCAACAACATACGTGATGTAGACTTCACCACATGGAAAACTCAGGAATTAAGTCAACTATGTTTGTGAAAATAGAAGAAGAAGCTCAATATCATCAGTCAAACAAGGCCAAAGGCTGACTGAAGAAGAGGTCATCAATTCCTCCCATGCAAATTCAAGTTGAAGCTGAAGATAATTAAAACCAGTCCATGAAAACCAAAGTATGTATGACCTTGAGTGTATCCCACCTGAATTTAGAGCCCATATCAAGAATAGATTTGACATATTGAATACTAATGACCAAAGACCAGACAAGTTGTGGGATAACATCAAGGTCATCATACATAAAGAAAGCAAAAGGTCATTAGAAAGAAAGGAAACAAAGAAATGACCAAAATGGATGCCAGAAGAGACTCTGAAACTTGCTCTTGAATATACTGTAGCCGAAGCAAGTAGAAGAAACAACAAAGTAAAAGACCTGAACAGATTTCAAAGGTCTGCTCGAGAATAAAAAGTAAAGTGTTCTAATGAAATGTGCAAAAACTTAGAAAACTGAAAGGGAAGAATATGCTCTGTATATCTCAAGTTGAAATAACTGAAGAAAACAAAACAAAGCAAACAAAAATCCTCAAACCTTGAGTTGTGATATTGAAGGATTGTATGGGTAAAATATTTTAAAACACAGGAAGCATCAAAAGAAGATGGAAAGAATAAAGAGATTCACTGTACCAAAAAGAATTGGTTAATGTTCAGCTGTTTCAGGACATAGCATATGATCAAAATCCTATAGTACTGAAGGAAAAAGTCCAAGGTGCTCTGAAGACATTCACAAAACACACACTAAAAAACCAAAAAACCAAACTCACTGTTGTTAAGTCAGGTCCAACTCATAGCCACCCCTCCTTGGGTTTCCGAGGTGGTGTCACTACGGAAGTAGATTGCCCAACCTTCCTTCCAAAGAGGGGCTGATGGGTTTAAACTGCCAGCCTTCTGGTTAGCAGTCAAATGCCTTAGGCACTAGGTCACCAGAGGCGGCCTAAGGCACTTGACTGCTAACCAGAAGCCTGGTGGTTCAAACCCATCATCCACTCCTTGGAAGGAAGGTTGGGCAATCTACGTCCGTAGTGACACCACCTTGGAAACCCAAGGAGGGGTCACTATGAGTTGGACCTGACTCGACGGCAAAACACAAAGCTCCTGGGAATTGACAGAATGCTAATTGAGATGTTTCAACAAACAGATGTAATGCCAGAAAAGCTCAGGTGTCTATGCCAAGAAATTTGGAAGACAGCTACCTGGATAACTCTCTAGAATAAATCCATATATGTGTCTATTCCAGAGAAAGAAGATCTAGCAGAATGCAGAAATTACTGAACAATATCATAAATATCACACACAAGTAAAATTTATGATGATAATTCAAAAATGGTTGCAGCAGTACATCAACAGGGTTCTACCAGAACCTCAAGCTGGACTCTGAAGAGGACGTGGAACAAAGGATATGATTACTGATGTCAGATGGATCTTGACTGAATGCATAGAATACCAGTAACATGTTTACCTATGTTTTATTGACCATGCAAAGGCATTCAACTGTGTGAATCCTAACAAATTATAGATAACATGGTGAAGAATGGGAATTCCAGAACACTTTACTGTCTTCATGCAGAATCTCTACATAGACCAAGAGGCAATTTTATGAAAAAAACAAGGGGATACTGTGTGATTTAGAATTGGAAATGATGTATGTCTAGGTTGTAACCTTTCACTATACTTATTCAATCTGTATGCTGAGAAAATAATCTGAGAATTTGGACTACATGAATAAGAATGTGGCATCAGGTTTGGAGGAAGGCTCATTTACGACCAGTGATATGTGGATGACACTACCTTACTTGCTGAAAATGGAGAAGACTTGGAGCACTTACTGATGAAATCAAAGACTATAGTCTCTGATATGGATTACATCTCAATATAAAGAAAACAAAAATCCTCACAATTGGACCAATAAGCAACATCATGATGAAAGGGGAAAACATTGATGATGTCAAGGATTTCATTTTACTTGTATCCACAATCAACTCCTATGGAAGTATCAATCAATAGATCAAGCCACATATTGCATTGAGCAAATCTTCTACAAAAGAGTTTTGTATGGTCAGTAACTGCAACCCCCCAAAACGGCTCACAGACTCTGTCTTGTGTAGCCAAACTTGGCCATTTCCAAGAACTATAAGCCATTTCCTCTATTTCCCCTTGTCACATACTCTCCTTCTCCCCCTGTCATGCATCAACCACTTTCCCCATAACATATTAACCAGTCCTTAGAATAGTTTTAAGCAATAAAGCTTGCTAACAGCAGCATCACTTCAGAGCATACATAGGGGGTGGTTTCAGGGCACTGCCTGGGGCCCCTTCCAATTGGGACCCAGCACCATCAAGTCTGAAACCAGTCATGTAGTGTTCCATTCCCAGTCACATAGTCCCTATCCCCAATTCCTCAAACTCAGGTAAAAGTATCCCTGCAGAGTGGGAGGGGGTTAACAGTCATCTTGGATACATTCCAGCCTGCTGCCACTGGACACTGAATTGCTAGCAACGTTTGACAACTTCATTCTTTTCTCCGTTTATCATGACGTTGCTTACTGGTCCAGTTGTGAGGACTTTTGTTTTCTTTATGTTGAGGTGTAATCCATACTCAAGGCTGTAGTCTTTGAGCTTCATTAGTAAGTACTTCAGTCTTCTTCACTTTCAGCAAACAAAGTTGTGTCATCTCCATATGGAAGGTTGTTAAGGAGTCTTCCTCCAATCCTGATGCAGCCTTTTTCTTCATGTAGTCCAGATTCTCAGATTATTTGCTCTGCATCCGAATTGAATAAGGATGGTGAAAGGATACAATCCTGCCACAGGCCCTTCCTGATTTTAAACCTGGGAAGAACTATAGATTTAGAAAGCAATAAGAACCCGGGCAGGTGCACGGTTTTAAAGTGTTTTGTGAAGGTTGATGGTTTTGGCCTGGAGCAGGAAATATCTAGCACATGTATAGTAGGGAGGGAGTTCTGCTCTTGTTTCTCTTGATCATTTCTTGGAGACATATAACGCTGTCCCACACCAGCCAACTGTGCCTCAGATTTTTGATTCAGTAAGTTATGGGGTGAAACCAGGACAGGTGAGCAGCCCTGTGAGGGTGAAGAGCTGAGAGGCAAAGACAGAATGGTTAAGATTTAGGCAGTTGCTCTCCTCACCCCCATTTTTCTCCATTCAAAATCCAGGGCTGGTGAATGACAATGTCAGGAAATCTTCTGAAACTGGTGTTTACTTAGGGGGCTAAGGCTGA